TGATGCGAGCGAGCGGGACTCTGTCAATCTTCCTATCCTGATCTTTACTCTCTGTCTTCTCTCAGAGTATGTCCAGGCCTTCAAGCTGCTAGAGCATCTGGACTGCTCCTCCTCCTTGGCCTCCCTCCAGGACCAGGACAGCTCGGTGGTTCAGGTGGTCATTGGCTCAGGTAAACCCCGGTAAATCTCAAGGCTTCGCTGTTGTGTTTGAGTCCGACTATTGCTGAGTGTTTATTCCTCCCCAGAAGAGCTGCTGCCAGCTGACATCCTCCAACACAGCCCTTCATCCTCTTGCTCCTCCTCTTCATCCTTCTTGCCTCCTTTTAATGGGTTATCCAGTCCAACAGCGTCTCCTGCTGGCAGAGAGGAGCTGCTGCCTCCCCTCGTGCCTGTCCAGCTGCAGTACCACCTCCACACCTGCTCCAAGGTAAACACACATTGATGTCATTCAGAATCAGCCCGAGAATTTATTTTGCCTAATTTGATCTCAAAAAGTTTCTTTCATTTATATGGTGCTTTTATTCTGAATCTTGATAATCTAACAGCCTGAAAACACGTTGATCCCTTTTAGTTTTTACCCAGAATCTTGAATATGTTGAAAACCTGATCCTTGTAATTATCTGAAATCTATCAAATAGTTTTTTTAATTTAGAAATCTGATATACTTCAGAACTTCAGAGCATCCTTATACGTTCCTGTAAGTAACTTGGGGCTTTTATCCTGAGAAGAAGCATTAACCTCCTAAGACCCAAACTCTTAATTTCTTTTAATTAATAAACTTTTAATTTCTCTTTGATATCTGGGCATATTGGGACCTAATGAATGTAAAAACAAAGAATTACCAGATTTTTTTTTTACCTGGTTTTTGTTTCTAAGAAAAATGAGAGCCACATATGAGGATATTTGCTTAAAATTTCGATAGAACAGTAGCAGTATAATGTCCTCGTAAGTGGATATCAGGCCATTGTTGAGCAAAATTTAGTATTTTGGTCTAAATAACCCAAAATGTGACGTCCACATATGTGGACGGCAGGTCCTAGGAGGTTAAAGCAACTTGATAATGTCCAGTATCTAATTCATGACTTTTTTTAAAAAAAAGAAGAAACTGTCATAGTCAGTCCCTATACCAGACTGGGGGCATTTAATTTAACAGTGATCATTTACAGTTCGTAGCCAAAGGCTTTTTTTAAAATTCCTGAATATTTGAATATTTAAAATCCTGATAACGTGAGCTGTTTTTCGCTTTACAGTCCTGCCTGCCCTGTTTGCCGAGCATGACTCAGTCCACGCCGCTATTCTGGGGCCAGAACCCGCTGAAGATCCCGTTGCTCTGCGGCTTCAAGAGGCTGACCGCCATGCCACTGATTTCACCCGCCAAAGAGGGCGTGCTTTGGGACCACGGGGACCAGGAGCAGGAAGACGTAGGAAACTGGGACGTCATCTACAAGGCACCATGTGGGCTGAGCCTCCGTAACCATGACAACGTAATGCTTTTTCTGGAGGCTACAGAGAGCTATGACATCCTGCAGGTCAATAGATGATTTTTTTTTGCTGTGTTCAGTGTCTCTCTGTATATTCCTCCTTCAGGTCTTTAAAGTGGGTCAGTTTTCCTCCTGCAGGTTGATTTCTTCACCTTTAACCCCTCCGTGCGGTTGGACCCTCCTTCACCAGGGGGCCTTCGGCAGCCTGAACAGGACCTGAGCCGAGGGGCGGAGCCAATACCGGTGGAGCTGTGCGTCGGGGACGGTGGCTCCCGGCCTGCTGAATTCCGCTACAGGAAGGACCGCTGGCCACATGGCTGCTTCCTGAGCCGCGGCCCAAAGCTGTTCAAGGCCTGCTGTGACTGCACAGATGGCTGCAGTGATGCAAAGCGCTGCGCCTGCATGGCCTTGACTTCTGGAGAGCGCCACTATCGCCATCACAGGCTGTTACAGGCCAACCCATCAGGGTGAGGTGAACAAGTAGAGGTTTTTCAAAAGGAGCTAAAGCAGGAGCTTTAGGTTTCCCAGTGGAAGTATTGATCATTAACTGATTCACTGATTTGCTGACAAAGTGTTACCATGGTGATCAATCTTCAGGCTCTTTGAGTGTGGCCCGTGGTGCGGCTGTGACCGATCTCTCTGCCAGAACCGTCTCGTCCAGAGAGGCATCAGAGTCCGACTCCAGGTCTTCCAGACTGAGAACCGTGGCTGGGGGGTGCGTTGCCGTGACGACCTGGACCGTGGGACCTTTGTGTGCATTTACGCAGGTGAGTGTGGCTCAGCGTTCAGTGGCTCCGTCCAAGCCACGGTCTGTAAACTCGTCCTCTCATCTGTGTCCAGGTGTGGTGCTGCAGAGGGTCCTGAATCCCACCGAACCACCGCCGCCAAAGTTGACGAGGTCCGACCTGCCGTCTGACGATGAGGTGGAGGTCGTCACGGAGTGGCTGGCCCCACCTGTGCTGGAGGGCCGACGCAATGTGTTGGAAACGCCCCCGCCTATGTCTCCGCCTACCTCACCTCTTTTGCATGTCCCTGTGATTCAGAGACCCTCCGACAGCGGCTCCAGCACCACAGACCAAGAAGAGGTTTGTTAGGCTCGTTTACTTTACTGTAAAGTTTTTTTTATTTTCAGAATAATTTTTTACATATTCTAATTCCAATATTTCTATACACATTTTATTATATTGTAAATATTTTTCATTTGTATTTGTATGGACATTACAGGTTTTCAATTTACATATTTTTATTTTTTCCTTTGAATATTTTGTGACCTGATTTTTAAAAGAATTATTGTTTATTTTAAATCATTTGTGTGTCCTGCATTCCTTTGAATATTTCCTCTAATTATTTGATTAAAATGTATTTTTGTGCCTTCGTGATCTTTAGTTCAAAGTAAAAGGCTTCTATTTTCTTCTGTCAGATTCAGGCGGTGCTGGTTGGAGGTCTGCAGCCGACGTCTCCTTCATCAGGTCAGTAATGACTCACACAAAACACACAAATGATACATTAACACAGCTGGTAAACAATTGGCTACTGTGTGTCAGGTGATCAAGAGCAAGACGAGAAGGTGGCATCAATGTCGGAGAGCGCTGGTGTGAATGGTACAAAGGCGAGCATGAGCTTAAAGAGAGCAGCGAAGGTGGACGAAGTTTGTTTTGTGGACGCAAGCAAGGAGGGAAACGTGAGCCGCTTCATCAACGTGAGTCCAGCTGATCAGGAACATGACGCTGAAGTTGGACTAGCTAGTATGTAATGATGTGCTACATGATCACTAGGGACACAGCTATGTTAGCATAACATAAACACAGTGAACCTGGAGGATGAACGCTAACTTTTTTTCACTTGATGAAAGTTAACATGAGGGTTCCCAATGGTTAGAGACAAATGCAATCGCATGGCAGGATGCTGTAAACAGAACAAACTTCAGTCAGGAGAACAACTGAGATAATCCATCCACAATACGAGGTTAGTCATTAATATACTGCAACAACATGGGAATAGAGCAGCTGCCAGAGAATTCAACATTAATGAATCAATGGTACAGAAGTGGAGGAAGCAAGAAGAATGAGTTAAGTTTGACATATCTGACGTTTTATAACTGTATTTTATAAACGGTTTCACAAGATTTCTTTAGACAATTTAAAACTTTTAAACAAAACATTTTTTTAATTTCATTAGTAATTTCAAAATGTTATATATATGTGTGTGATTGTGTGTGTGTGTGTTTCTAATATTTTCTTTATACTTTTCATTGTGTTAATCTTGTTCACAAGATTTTTTTGCATCTTTAAAACTTTCTAAAGAATTAAAAAAATGTGTCTTTTGTTTTTGCTTGTACATTTTTCTCCAAAGCATTTTTGGACATTTCCTTTATAGTTTGTAGTTATTTTCAAAATATTAACTGCTTAGTTTAAATTGTGGAATTTTCCCCCTTTTAGTTCATAGTTTATATATTTTTTATGCTAATGAAGAAGAAATCTTCTTCTTGTTTATTATTATTATTATTATTATTATTGTTATTATTATTGATATCATGTGATCTCTAACCCCGCCCACAGCACAGCTGCCAGCCGAACCTTTTCATCCAGAATGTCTTCATCGACTCCCACGACCCCGCCTTCCCCGTCGTTGCCTTCTTCACCAGCAGGTGAGGAAGAGAACTGAGAGGACGTTAATGTGGGTTATTATTAGTGGTCATTTTAATAATTGTCCTCTTTGTTTTCTTGCTGTAGGGCCGTAGTGGCTGGCACTGAGCTCACCTGGGACTACTCTGCCAACGTCCAGATCGATTCACTGCAAAAACAGGAAGTGTCTTGTCTCTGCGAAAGCGACAATTGTCATGGGAGATTCACCATCGAGGAGAACCTATGTGAAGTTTGTGAGGTTGAAGGTCACATAGCAATGGAGGCCAAGTGATCCTCCATACAGTTTGTTAGTAACAGTTTTGGTATTTAGAGGGTTTTTTTCCTAAAAAGAAAATAAAAGTTCAGCTATTTTACTCTGAAAGTTTTTCAAGTCTTTATTATTGGGAAGGCTTTAATTTTGAGAACCCTTTTTCTGTGTTTGAGCTTTTATTTTTTGTATCTCTACTTTGGTCATTTTATTTTGACACTACCATGGATTTAATGTTCAAACAGCCAGTACAACTTTTCTCCTGAAACTGATGCCCAAAGTGTCAAAGTTCTGTGTTCATTTTTAAGCAATAATAAACGTTGCTTTGAAAACCTTCAACATGAGTAAATGGTTTACTATTGGTGCAGCTCTTTGGGGGATTTGAAATTGTATATAAATGTCGGAATGTATTTATTACAGCCTTTATTTAAAAAAAATATGTATATATGCAACTGAATTTATCATTTATGGCAGTTTTTTTTTTTTTTTACATTTGTTTGTAATTTATTCCTAATATTTCCATTATTTCTGAAAAGTCACTTGGACACTCCAGCTTTTGGTTGCGGATTTTCGGTTGTAGCCCAGCAATGCTTTTATTATGAAATTTCAGACCGGATATTCGGTATTGTTTATATCGCCTCTCTCGGTCTTCACCGACTCTCCACCATACACTCGAGCCAAAGATGAGATCTCTGTGGCGGGCTGTGCGTGTCTTCCTCCTCGGCCTCTCCTTGGCCTCCCTTTCCCTGTCCGGTGCGTCCCGGTTCCACATCCCGCCTCATGACCAGGTGGCCCGGGTCGCGCGCTTCGTTGCGCACCAGGTGGACTGGGCCTCCATGGCCACCATCTCCACCCACAAACCGGTGGTGGGCCAGCCGTTCTCTAATGTCTTCTCGGTGAGCGACGGGCCAAGGGGCTCGGGCTCCGGGGTGCCTTACATGTACCTGACCCGCATGGAGATCTCCGTGCAGGACCTGGAGGTGAGCCTGACCCAGGATATCAGTGTTAAAACAGGAACTGAGCCTTCCTGTTCAGAAGTCAGTTTACAAACTAGAATTTAGTGTACTCGACACTCTCTGTATCTGCGCTGTGTTGCTGTAAAAGGCACTGCTTCTCGTTCAGAACTCCATTAAGAAAACCTTTGATTTTACCGTGAAAGCCATTAAAGTTCAATGTTACAGGTTCTGGAGCGATAAAGCGTAAAATTAAATAACATTTGACTTTAGTGATCTTCTGCTTTAAAAAGCCATCAGCTGTCAGTAACTTATTCTATACAAAACAAAAGTGTGGAACTTGGTAAACACAATATTTACTAACAACACGCTTATGTAAATGTTTGTAGTGATTAGCACTGTTTTTAAAATGCTACTGCAGAATTATTGCAAACACATCAAGAATATTTATTTTAATACTCCTGACATATAGAAGAGCAAAACTGCCAAGGTCTAAAATGCATTTACAAAAACGGAAAGATAAAAAATAGATAAAAATATTTAGAATTTTATTGATTTTTAAAAAATGAAATAAAAAGGTATAAATAGCCTGATTTAATGTTCTTTAATTTGTTTTGGGGTTTTTTGTATCTTCTTTATCTTTTCTATTTTACTAAAATATATAGTTTTTTTTAATTGAAAATTTTAGTTCACAAAATAATGTTAATGATGATTTTCTTTCCCATGGGGAAGAAATGTATCATTAACATTATTTTGTGCATTTAAGGTAATTTTTTTTTTTTAACATTTTAATATTCAGACTTTCATTTTAAAGGTTATTTGAAGTTATGTGAAATAATGTGAAGTTATGCTGAGATATAAAATCATGAATAGTTGAGTTTATAAAACTGCATTTTACATAAACTGTGATGTAAGTGCAGCATGACTCAGCATATTTTCCTGACAGTGACTCAGCAGTTGTCAGTCACATGTCAAAGCAGAAGTTGAGACCACAGAAGAAGAAACGAGTGCTTGAAATCTGCTGAAACGACACAGAAAACAGGTTTAAATGAAGTTCAGCTTTGTTAAAGTTTGCTTTATTACAGGAAGTTATCAAAATTAAACAGAGCAGCAGCTTTTTATTGTCTTGCAGAAGGTTATAAAGTTTGTTTGAGCTAAAAAGTCATTTTCTCAGGATTAAATATTTATTTTTAGTACCTCCAGTTTTAATGACCTCAGTTTCTTTCTCACTTCTTCAAGATAAGATAAGATAAGATAACTCTTTATTGTCATTGCACAGTCATACATAGTACAATAGTACAATGAAATTGGAAAACTGTCCTACACATACATACTACATACACTACATATAACACAACACGACCCGATACGAAACATCACAACACAACACAAACAACACAACATAGTATAATAACTTAGTAATAAAAAAGAAGAATAAGTGTATTTGTATTGCACACTGTTATTAATGCACATTAATTGTTATTGCACCTTCTTATAAATATAAATATTATTATTGTTACTGTTGTTACCTCCCCCCCCCAAAAAAAGTCCAGGTAGCCAGTCAGGTCAGCTATTTGCATTGATCAGGGCTATTGCCCTGTTGTAAAAGCTGTCCTTGAGTCTATTTGTTCGGGACCTCAGCAGCCTGAACCTCCTGCCAGACGGCAGCAGCTTAAACACCCGGTGTCCTGGGCGTGTACCGTCCCGTAGGATGCTGCGTGCCCTCTTGAGACAGCGAGTGCTGTACAGGTCCTTCAGGGAAGGAAGAGGATGTCCAATGATTTTTTGGGACATATTCAAGCAGGTTTTAATGGTTCAAATTGCAGATTTTTGTCCCAGACATATAAAATGATTAATGATTCTCATATTTAGATATTATTTGTCTGTATATGGAGGATGAAATGCCTAAATTAAAAAAAGATAAACAAATAAATAAATAAATATTTTAATTTTAAGAAAAATATAGCATTAAATAAGAATTGGACACAACTAATTAATTAAAAGTATACGTTTTAATAATGCTATAAGATGTGTGTATGCGTGTGTTACCTGTGCTGTGTGTATTGATGCAGGTGAGCCCTGTGGCGTCTCTGTCCATGTCTCTGGCTCAGACTGATTACTGCAGGCAGCAGAGCTTTGACCCTCAGAGTCCGCTCTGTGCTCACATCATCCTGTCTGGATCTGTACAGGAGGTATGTACACACACCTGTGTTTCACACATGATCAGTTCGGACCCGTCACATGATCACCTCCTCCTGCTGTGGTTCAGGTGAACGGGACAGAGGCGGAGTTTGCAAAGAAAGCGCTGTTCACTCGTCACCCCGAGATGATCGAGTGGCCGAGCGACCACAACTGGTTCTTCGCCAAGTTCAACATCACACAGGTACTACTGCAAATACTACAACCTAATACCACAGTACTACGGCAAATACTACAACCTAATACCACAGTACTACTGCAAATACTACAACATAATATCACTGTAGTACAGCAAATACTACAACATAATACCACTGTAGTACTGCCAATACTACAACATAATAGCACAGTAGTACTGCAAATACTACAACATAATACCACTGTAGTACTGCAAATACTACAACATAATACCACTGTAGTACAGCAAATACTACAACATAATACCACTGTAGTACTGCAAATACTACAACATAATACCACTGTAGTACAGCAAATACTACAACATAATACCACTGTAGTACTGCAAATACTACAACATAATACCACTGTAGTACAGCAAATACTACAACATAATACCACTGTAGTACAGCAAATACTACAACCTAATACCACAGTAGTACTGCAAATACTACAACCTAATACCACAGTAGTACTGCAAATACTACAACATAATACCACAGTAGTACTGCAAATACTACAACATAATACCACAGTAGTACTGCAAATACTACAACATAATACCACAGTAGTACAGCAAATACTACAACATAATACCACAGTAGTACTGCAAATACTACAACATAATACCACAGTAGTACTGCAAATACTACAACATAATACCACAGTAGTACAGCAAATTCTACAACATAATACCACTGTAGTACAGCAAATACTACAACATAATACCACTGTAGTACTGCAAATACTACAACATAATACCACTGTAGTACTGTAAATACTACAACATAATACCACTGTAGTACAGCAAATACTACAACATAATACCACTGTAGTACAGCAAATACTACAACCTAATACCACAGTAGTACTGCAAATACTACAACATAATACCACAGTACTACTGCAAATACTACAACCTAATACCACAGTAGTACAGCAAATACTACAACATAATACCACTGTAGTACAGCAAATACTACAACATAATACCACTGTAGTACTGCAAATACTACAACATAATACCACTGTAGTACTGCAAATACTACAACATAATACCACTGTAGTACAGCAAATACTACAACATAATACCACTGTAGTACTGCAAATACTACAACATAATACCACTGTAGTACTGCAAATACTACAACATAATACCACAGTAGTACTGCAAATACTACAACATAATACCACAGTAGTACTGCAAATACTACAACATAATACCACAGTAGTACTGCAAATACTACAACATAATACCACTGTAGTACAGCAAATACTACAACATAATACCACTGTAGTACTGCAAATACTACAACATAATACCACTGTAGTACTGCAAATACTACAACATAATACCACTGTAGTACTGCAAATACTACAACATAATACCACTGTAGTACAGCAAATACTACAACCTAATACCACAGTAGTACTGCAAATAGTACAACATAATACCACTGTAGTACAGCAAATACTACAACATAATACCACAGTAGTACTGCAAATACTACAACATAATACCACAGTAGTACTGCAAATACTACAACATAATACCACAGTAGTACAGCAAATACTACAACCTAATACCACAGTACTACTGCAAATACTACAACCTAATACCACAGTAGTACGGCAAATACTACAACATAATACCACAGTAGTACGGCAAATACTACAACATAATACCACTGTAGTACAGCAAATACTACAACCTAATACCACTGTAGTACAGCAAATACTACAACCTAATACCACAGTAGTACTGCAAATAGTACAACATAATACCACTGTAGTACAGCAAATACTACAACATAATACCACTGTAGTACTGCAAATACTACAACATAATACCACAGTAGTACAGCAAATACTACAACCTAATACCACAGTAGTACTGCAAATACTACAACATAATACCACTGTAGTACAGCAAATACTACAACCTAATACCACAGTAGTACTGCAAATACTACAACATAATACCACTGTAGTACAGCAAATACTACAACATAATACCACTGTAGTACTGCAAATACTACAACCTAATACCACTGTAGTACAGCAAATACTACAACATAATACCACTGTAGTACTGCAAATACTACAACATAATACCACTGTAGTACAGCAAATACTACAACATAATACCACTGTAGTACTGCAAATACTACAACCTAATACCACTGTAGTACAGCAAATACTACAACATAATACCACTGTAGTACAGCAAATACTACAACATAATACCACTGTAGTACAGCAAATACTACAACATAATACCACTGTAGTACTGCAAATACTACAACATAATACCACTGTAGTACAGCAAATACTACAACATAATACCACTGTAGTACAGCAAATACTACAACATAATACCACTGTAGTACTGCAAATACTACAACATAATACCACTGTAGTACAGCAAATACTACAACATAATACCACTGTAGTACTGCAAATACTACAACATAATACCACTGTAGTACTGCAAATACTACAACATAATACCACTGTAGTACTGTAAATACTACAACATAATACCACTGTAGTACTGCAAATAGTACAACATAATACCACTGTAGTATTGCAAATACTACAACATAATACCACTGTAGTACTGCAAATACTACAACATAATACCACTGTAGTACTGCAAATACTACAACATAATACCACTGTAGTACTGCAAATACTACAACATAATACCACAGTAGTACTGCAAATACTACAACATAATACCACTGTAGTACAGCAAATACTACAACATAATACCACAGTAGTACTGCAAATACTACAACATAATACCACTGTAGTACTGCAAATACTACAACATAATACCACAGTATTACTGCAAATACTACAACATAATACCACAGTAGTACTGCAAAGTATCCTGCGGGACCAACATCACCCTGCGCGCCACCTTTTCCATCTCCTGCCCTCAGGGAGAAGGTACAGGTCTATACAGGCCAGAACATCCAGACTGGCCAACAGCCTGTATCCACAGGCTGTGAGGCTCCTGAACTCTCTGCCCCCCTCTCACGGACAATAACCATATCCAACTTCTTAATAGCAATGAACTGGTCTGCATTGGTGCATCATATCTTTATTCTCTTCCCCTCCTGCCCCCCCCCCCCCCCCCTCTTTCTTAAATAGATAACTATCATATCTGATATCATATCTCACAGTACAATAATATTGAATGGGTTGCATTGTTGTATTTTGTCATGTTTCTCAGGTCTTTGTCTGAATTTCTACGAACATTATTGCTAAGGATTGTCTTATTGCATTGGAGTCACACTGGGTTAAATATGTACACTTGGGTTTTAAGGGGTATTTTTTTTTTTCTTCTTTTTTTTGGGTTGTATGGAAGCCCCAAACGCAATTTCATTGTTCTTGACAATGACAATAAATAAATAAATACTAAATACTACAACATAATACATAATACTAAAACATAATAGCGTATTTCCCGGACTACAAAGCGCACCTAAATATTAGCCGCACAAGCTAAAATCAGGGGAAAATCCTGTTTTGTACATACATTAGCTGCACCTGACCAAAAGCCGCAGGTGTTTCAATGTTGACTCATCATATGTAAGAGAATATGCACAAAGGGAATTGTCAGGAAAGAGATGGCTGTTTGGAGACATCACTTTTATTAATATTTTGAAAAACAAGTTATGGGTACATATTTGCACATGTAGTACATAACAGTAGCCTACAGCACACCAGAACAATAGATTCGGCCTACCTTTTAGGCTCAGGTGCAGTGACACAGCTTTAACAAGAAGAAAAGTCAGTCATTCACCACCATCTTTCTCTTCTTCCTACGCACTAAAACCACCAAAGTCCTCTTCTCCAGTGTCAGATACAAACAGGCTCATGATGGCTTCGTCATCCACTCTTCTTCTCTCCTTCGTTGTCACTTTCAAAACCAAAGAAATCCTCATTGTCAGTGTCAGAGTCGAACACCCTCAGAAGGGCCGTGGCGGTGTCCTCCTCTCCATCATGCAGCAGTCCAGCCCTTCAAAATCCGTTGGTGATCGTGGATGTTTTCACACTTTTCCACGCTGTCAGAATCCACCGGTGGAGTTGGGCATAACTTGCTTTTTGGGCATAACTTGCAAGTTTATCGCCGCTCATCATCCACGACTCCCGCTGAACGCGTAGCGCTACTTTGAAGTTTGTTTTTCGCGCTACTTCGTACGGCACTACGTTGCCTGGCGGACGGACATGTGACTAACATACCACTCTTGAACCCCGATCCTTCCGCCAGGCAACGTAGTGCCGTACAACAGCGGAACACACAAAACAAATCGTCTTACGATATCACAAAAATCACGGACAATCCATAGAAAAGCCGCACCTGACTAAAAGCCGCAGGGTTCAAAGCTTGTGCAAAAAGTAGCGGCTTATAGCCCGACATTTACGGTAGTTCAAGTCATTTCAAGTTCAGATAATTACTGAACTTGACCTGCTATGAATGCTTTGAAACAATCCCACAGTACTACTACATGTTCATTGTTAGAGATATAATAAGTATAAGTACTACTAATATTTCTAATAATACTATAAATACTGTTGAATGTTTCCACTATAATAATACAAGTTAAATGTGAACGTGCAGTACACTCATGCTCCTGTTATGCTGTTGTCATTTTAAAACATGACACAAATATCAGTACTGATATAATAATCCACTTTAAATCCATGATACTACTTGTTTAAAACAACTCAATATATATTATAAGTATATATTATAATACTACACTATCATAATGATGGTATAATAATGATGGATAATACTACTAACACTAAAACACCACACAGATACAGGTAGTACACAATACTTCTAATAATAGAAGTACTACCACCTGCCACTAGCAGTAACTCAGTAGTAATTCAACCTATAAATACTGTCACACAAACTATAAATATCAACTTGACTTCAATTCTCTTAAATTTTCTGTTATTTTCTTCTTAATTTAACACACACATTTAACTCACACTTCTGCGCACTTCTGTATGCTCATGTAAAGCTGAGGACACGAGCCAAAGAATTTCATTATGGCTAAATGTGGCTACTCGGTTTATCTGTACTTGACATTAAAACTTGAAACTAGTAATACCAGAAAATTTACAGTAATAATATTACTGATACAAAAGCATAACTGAGCTATTTATAATACTAGAAAGACACTGCCATAGTACTATTATTAAAAATTATAATAATACCACTAATACTACAGGTACTCCAGCATCACACACCTTGTAATACTAGCTCTATCATTACTGTAGCACTTGTAGTCCTGAGTGCACACCTGTGCTGCTCTCAGCCAATCATGTGACATGAAGTCAGCAGGCTGGTCCTCCTTCCTTGTGTTTCAGGTGTGGGTGTTGGATTACTTTGGCGGGGTGAAGACCGTCACTCCTGATGAGTATTTCCAGGCAACGCCGTACAGGAAGCACCACTGATGGTTTGTAGTCCTACTGTTCTGTTTGTAGTCCATCACTTCCTGCTGGAGCTGACACCACGCCTCCGTTTAAAGATGTGCAGTTAAACCATCGTCTTGTTAATTTTTCTGCTCATTTTGTTTTTTATTCTCTTCAGGATTCGAACCTGCGAACCCCGCAACCAGAATGTACGAGATGCAAAATCCTCCTCAGGAGTTACACGCCGATTAATCTGCTACGAATCCATGAATTTATCCAACCGCTGAATCCACGTCATTTACATCATGCCTGCTTTATTCTTAATTTTAGATTTGAAAGCTTCTGTTTCTGAAAACAGGCAAACAAAATCAGATGAAGTGTCCTAAACACAGAAGTTGTCTTTAACTCAGACTTAAATTGTTGCGTTTGGAGCTTTTCTTTCCTGCAGCTGAAACACTCGATGACATTCAGGCATCAGAAGTCAGTGTTACAGTTTAATCTCCTCTTTCCTTTGATTCACTTAAAAAGATTTCAAATGACTCTGTGAATGTGTGTGTGCTCAGGTGTTTGAAAAGACTATTGTTGTTTTGCAGATTTAAACATTATTAAAAAGCCAAGTGTGTTGGTGGAGTTTGACCAGCAGAGGGAGACGTCACGCTGAAAAGTTAAAGCTGCCAGTCCAGAGGAGGATTAAATCGATAAATACTTGTATAGGAAAATTTTTAATGGAATATATGTTTGTAGGCAAACTTTAGCACCACTTTAAAACAGAACAAATCTTTTTCTGAGCATCAACTTTTGTATTTGACCTTTGACGTGGATGCTGTTTAACTAACCGATTTAAATGTGCAGTTTGAAAAGAATTGCACATAATGTACTTTGTAAATCCACAAATAGCACTTTATGGAACACAAATCATTTTTAATGAAACAGCAGGAGACATCAGTAACCACACTAACTACATTTCCCTTGAGTCTTTGCCAGTAACAGGCTGTTTATTACTTGTGGGTGATGTAGTAGAGTTTTTTTATATGCTAAAAGAAAATCTTTATTTTGTTTTTAGATATTAGTGAATCAAATAACCCCAGATCCTCCTTCATGCTTCTTGTTTAGAATAATAATAACTAGGCTCCTTATAGGCGGGACTTTCCTTTGTTGCAAACATAGCTTATTTAGGCATTGCTGAAAGGGGAGGAGCTTTGATTATTTGCCTTAAACATAACTTTATTAATAACATTATGACCTGCTGTTTCTTCAAGCTGAATAACAGCTGTAAGTGTTTGCTGTGAAATTTTATTTTTTTGAAAGAAAAATAAAGATTTGTATTAAAGCCTCCTCATCTGTTTTGTGTTTTATTTGTTTTTGTTTTTTAACACATTTAGACTTACTTCACCAACTTATTGTCAGCTGTATGTATTTATTTTATTTATCTTCATTCATTTTCAATGCATAATTAGTTTTTTTTTTTTTTTTTTGAATGGTTGTGGTTTGATGTTTATTTGCATTATTTTATCCACATAACCCAATTTAATCGCTTAATATTTTTAAACAATAAATGAGAAGTAAATAAAATGGAAAGTAAATGACAGTAAGAGCATCTTAATCTCTGACTCTTTAATGAGTTTGTGGTCTCTGAATGAAACATGAGCTTCACTGAGTTAATTATGTTAACATGAAAGTCAGAATGGAGCAAAAACCAGGATTTTTGGCCACATCTACCACTTACCTATCACTCATGGTTTTAACACCATCACCAAGATGTATATTTTTAAAAATATTCAGCATTCAGAGGACAACAGATCCTCTTAGATCTCTTATATCCACTATATAGATTATAATTATCCTATGAACTGGCGAGAATGGTGGGTTATGTTGCTCAGTTCTTGACAGCAGCTGTAACTCATAAGCTATGGATGATAGGTAAGAGTTGAAACTGTTGCTGAGGGCCACTGTTGACCTACTGGTCATACTTTAAGAGCCCTAGGCCTACTCTGCGTTGACCTGAACACGATGGATGCTTAATAGTCGCCTCTATAAAAGATATTTGGCTCAACTACTGACAATGATGTCCCAGATATATTCTTTCGCTGATTCGTGACATCCTCTTTTGAAAGTAAATTGGGCAGTTCTGACTTCAAGTTTTCAGTTTTGATCTGTCATGACTGGACAAATAATTCTGAGCTGACACCATCAAGTTTTTTATTTGAAATTTACAAAACTAAATAAAGTAATCGAAGGAAACAACCATGAGCTGTGTCAGTCCATGAGTCAGTCATATTGGCATGTTTGCTGGCGTAGTGAGTGAAATGTTGTTTGGGTAGACATGAAAATAAGCTGTTATTCAGAATGTCCTTTTATGGGAATACAGGCCTTCTTGACTACACCCATTATGCACCTGCAACAGGAAACAGAAAGACAATTGCCAACCCGACAGCCCAAACAGGTGGAGTCATCAGATGGAAGTGATGAAAGCAACTACTAATTTGATAGATCCAGCCAAAAAACACTGGCCACTAGGGTTGACATCTCCAATAATGAGATGTACTTTGGCGTTGCTTTCCTGACCATAGACCATACATATCCACATGCAGTGTTGTACAAAAGTGTTTGCCCCCTTCCTGGTTTCCTATTAGACAAAGATAACACAAGTTAACACAAAATGCAGTTTCTAAATTAAGGTATTTATTATTGGGGGGGCAGGATGTCCACAAACACACGTAGCACTGTAAGAAAAAGTGATTGCCCCCTAAACCTACTAGCTTAATAGCAATAAATGCAATCAAGTGTTTGGGATACTTTTCAATTAGTCTTTTACAGCGCTGTGGAGGAATTTTGGCCCACTCATCTTTGCAGAATTGTTGCAATTCAGCCACATTGGAGCATTTTCAAGCATGGATGCATCACCACCAGCACATGAAAGGTCATGTGACAGCATCTCAATCAGACTGAGGTCAGGATTTTGACTAGGCCACTACAAAGTCTTAATTTTGTTTTTTGTTTTGTTTTTTAGAAACCATTGAGCCATCCGGGGTCTTTTGTGACCTCTTGGATGAATCGTCACTGTCCTCTTGGGAAAATGTTGGTTGGCCGGCCACTCCTGGGAAAGTTCACCGCTGTTCCATGTTTTAGCCATTTGTGGATAATGGCTCTCACTATGGTTTGCTTGAGTCCCACAGCTTTATTGAGGTTTTATTCTGAGACCTCAAGTTGAGCACTTTGGCAGTCACCATTTTGATTCTTTTAACCAGATATGATGCCAAGGACGGCTAGCATAAACACTGCCACCAGAGACATTTTAAATCCAGGCAAATTAACTGTTAGCATTATTGAGTGGGCAAGTCTTGAGTTGAACTTCTCTCAGCTTTGACACAAATAACAAAAATGGACTGAAATAACTACCAGTGGAAGCAAAGGATATTGGTGCTTCATATGAGCTGGGGGTAAATAAATTGGAAAGTAATCTAATCAAAACAAGCCTTGAAATTCAACTATAATCAACAATCGGCCAGACAGTTTTGTCCTTCTGTCATCCAGTCTAGTTGCCAGCTGCAAGTAAATCTCTTTATATATGGAGGGAACTTTACGGTTTGAGGAAGTGATTTTGAAATACATTTCATTGGCTGTAGATGTTGTGTCAGTTTTTCTGAACACAGTTGGTGATTGCACTAGTTGTGGTACTTGACTAAATCCTGGGTAAAAGTCCTGACAAAGTAGTGGTGGCAGAGAGACCATCAGGAAACCACAGTTTGAGTTGCTTAGTTTTTACTTTCTGTTTGATTTGGGTTGGGGACTAAAACCACTTGACTAAGATAAAGTAAAGGTCATGGTTTAGTACCCAGCACATTAAAATGTCTTGAGTTTACACTCAAAAGTGACAACCTGTAAGTGAAACTGATCTACACAGCCTCTAGCACTGAAAACCAGCCTTAAAAAGAGAAAGGGTGATATAAATAATGTAAACAAAGAGTGCTTCAGATTTATTTTAAAAGATTTACTCTCAGTTACATAACCGTGTAAACATCAAAAGCAGGAATAGCTGGCAAAAGAAGAGGCTGAATTTGTTTTTCCATGTGTGCTACAGAGTGTGTTCATGTGTGGGAGAAAAGTTGATGTAAGTGTGTCGCTGAGTGTCACCTGGCACAGCAGCTCCTCACCACTTCCTGTTCCACATCGAGGCAACAGAGAAGGAAGATACTAGTTTAGTTCAGTCATCTCACTTCATCGCCGAAACCAGTTTGAAGAAACAACGTCGTCTGGGGATATTGGTTCGGGATGGCGCTCCAGATGTGGATATCTGGCCTGCTGGTCCTCGCCTCAATGGTCTCCCCGGCTGGTAAGACCCCGAACACACTTTGAAGTTCTACACATAGATTTGAAATAGAAGAATTGCAGAGGCATCACCTCCCTTCTAAAAGCGTGACAAAAGTTAAGACAGGTTTTTAAAAATAGTTTATGATTAACAGAAACATGATACGAAATCAGACCTAAACTTGGTTTAAATCCTGCTAGCTTTATTTTTTTTAAATGCTGATTTTGCAGAAGCTAAGAAAAAAATATTTTAGTCTCAGTCATGAAGCGACTGTCAGTATGATATGGTTGAACTTTCAGAGCAGTCACAATTCAAATGCATTAAATCAGTTTTCTTAATCGACAAGCAAAGTGCTAACCCTCAAACGGATCAGAAAATTTAAAAGAAAATACCAACCGTACTTGCATAGATGTGTGTCGTCTGAATAAATAACCCCACATATCTAACAGAACAGCATCTACATAAAGCAGATTTAAAATGTTTTCAAGCAGCAGAAAGTCTTAAGCTGAATATGTCTGTAGTGGAGAATTCTGGTAGCCATGTTGGATTCTGTATCGTGTTCGTCGCGACACAACCAAACAAAATTTAGATTTCTGTCATTTTTTTAGGGGTAAAAAGAAAAATGTTATCTAATGACCAATTTTAGATTTGAAAACCACAGTGCCATTAGCTAGCTAACACTATAAATCAGAAATGTTCTGGTGTTGATGCGTCTGATTATCACACAAGCTAATCTGTGTGGATTACCTTAAAAAAAAGGCCCATCATTGCCTAAATAAATAAGATATCTGACCCCTCTGTTTTTTAAAAAACATTACTTTTTATACTCAGAAGAAAAAGTTTATTATGTAACTTGAACCTGATAGCTAAGCTATCGGCTAACATCCACATCCGGACGTCGACTAATCAGTTTGTGCATGCTGTCGAGGTGTAAAAATGACACATAATGCGTTAATCTTTCCTTCCAGTTTGTTTAAATTCTGACTTTATTATAAATATAGACTTTCATATTCATAGGCTTCTTTGGTAGAAGTTTAATCAAGTTAATCAATCTCATGTAACGACACATCTGAACTAAAGTTGGGCAAAACTCGATGTAACAAATGTACAATCTCACTCAACAATAGGTTTATTTCTTACACTGGTGAAAAAATAACCCAAAAGGAAATCCTCATCTCAGTAAACCTCAGAGTTACATACCAGAATACACAATAAAAAATCAGTTTCTAAGCAACTATAATTGAAGACATTACATAGCAGTTGAGTCCACTTTAGAGCCAGAATAAAGCAATTACATTGTCAAGCATTAAAGCCAAGTTTAGACTATTAAAAGTCCAGTTCAAGCCACCCAAACTTTAAAGTAAATTTTGGAATCAAAATATCTTCAGCGCTTAAAGTAAAACTCAAGCCCAATAAATGAATTAATATACAAATAATCGTAAAATTAAATTGAACAAGAGTTACCATAGGATTCATTTTTGGAGGCCCTGTCAAAGACTTCCAGGTCGTTTGGAGTACAAAACCTAAAAGCATTTTCTTCCAAACTCATTGCGAACTTTAGGGACCGTGTTTGTAGGGATGCAGAGGGCCAGTCAAGCACAGAAGTGATAGTTTCCCATTGAAAGTCTTATAAAATAAAATATACCGATCATCTTAAACCAAGGCCTAGAGCCATAGATTATGGTTTAGACCATCAAATGGTCAGTTTAGATCATTAACATACAAGTTTAAACTTGAAAAACGTGCGTCAAAGTTCAACTGTTTAAATACAAACTGAAACAAATAAAATGGAAAAGTTTTTCACTGGTTGTACCAGTATTGATCACAGGAAACACCGTTTAAACCAACAACAATTAAAAGCATTGCATACCAGTTGAGACCATTTCACGTAGCATTTCACAAGCGTTTGCGTAAAGTAAATGTTCATAGTTTACATAATCAAAACTCCCGTTTATTTACGGTATTAAGTTGATTTAATATACTTTAGCTTGAATTCTCTTTGACAGCTGCAATAAAAAAAAGGGGGGGGGGGCAATAAACAAAACAATACAGAAATAAATCTAGATAATGGATAATTATAAATTTAAATTCACTAAGAGTTACCAAAACATTACATTCTGGAAACACACTTTCAGGTTTTTGGAGCAGTATTTCTTCCAAACACTTTAGGGAACAAGCTTGTTGGGACTCAGAGGAGCAGTCAGGCACAGAAGGGATTTAAAATGACTCCTTTCAATGAGAGCCTTGAAAGCATTAACACTGGCCTTTCATTATCACATTCTAATGTAGGTCATCCGTGGTCTAGTGCCATAGATAACTGTCTAGACCATCAAATGACCAGTTTAGAACGCTAATGTACCGGTGGTAATACAAGTCTCAACAATTAGAAAAAGCAACTTAATCCAGCAGCGGTTTTCAGCGTCAGTACCAGTTTAGCCTATCAGAAATCCAGCTCAGACCATTCAAGATCCAAAGCCAGTCTAGACTATGAAATGACCTGTTTAGCGCTTTAATAGATCAGTTTAAAGCTGATAAGTGTGCGCCAAAGCGAAGTATTAAAAGCGGTCGCAAAGATTAAAAAAAGAAAACGGTTAAACAAAAAGCTTTTTTAAAAACTTAAGTACCAGTTTAGACCACAGGGAATCCAGTTTAAAGCAACTACAATTGAAAGCATTGCATACCATTTAGACCAGTAGACCATTTCAAGATCAGTTTAAAACATTTATATTTTCAGACATTTAAAGCTAGTTTAGATTATCACAAACTTTGATTTCCCTAAATCAAAGTTTAGGGAATTCAATAACAAATTAAACAGTCAAAAACAAATTTAAGTCGTCTAAATATCGATCAAAGGATGAGCTAATCCGGTGTAGGCAGATCATGCTCGTTTAAAATAAGGGACCAATTCAATCACGTGTTTCCTGGACCCGAATAAAAGAATAGAAACAGTCGAGGGAAACTAAACGAAGTAGTTCCTCAAACTGTGGGGTGTAATTAGAAATGTGTAGATGTTTGATTCTAACAAAGACAAAGGGCTAGAAAATGGAGAGTTCCTCCATTTTACAGGTTGGTACACCACAGGCAGCAATACTTTTTCACACTTTAGAGCCATTTCAAGAATATAGTAACACAGATAAAAATCACTTTACCATCACCTTCCTCCGACGATGAAATAAAGTTGAGAATAAAAGCTAAAAGTAGGAGGAAATATCAACAGCAGAATTTGCAGAAATCAAGTTTGTCACTTTGGTTTTTATGAAAAAAATGAAGTTTGTGCAGCAGCACCATGAGACGTGTAGTTCGACACTTGTGGCTGCAGTGCTTCCTTAATAAGCGCTATATTGCGGCACGATAAAGGCACTACTTAGGTAACACATAAAATCATGCTCGTTAAACAAAGTATTTTCTTTACTAAACACAGCCTTACAGTAAGCATTAAAACTGCTCAGTTCACATGTTGTAAAGACAATTAGACTTTTGTATTTGGCCGACATGGTTATTAAATGGCTAAGTACGCCTCTGAAGTGAGAAATGAGGGCCGTTTTTGTAAGTTAGGGGACAAAAATTACATTTTAGAACTAAAATAAATGCATGGCATGTAGCTGTTTAAGACTTGCAGCTCATACTTCCTGAATAGCTGCTGTCTCTCAGCTTTAACATCAGATAAAAATCACTCTTCAAGAAAGACACACCCAGACCGCAGCACCACCTTATGCTGGCCTAGTGTCCAGTATTTTGACATTTGGAACATATCTGGCACATATTCACGCCTAACTTTGGTATAAGTGGCCAAAGTATCCCAGATTATTCCCAAATGTGTCTGTTATCATGATTTAAGTGCACTTTGTGAGAGTTACAATAAATAAACATCGTTAAGTTATAATAGCGTGACCAAGGAAGGGCTACTTTTTAATATAAGTTCAAGTCAAGAAATCAGTGTCTTCTTTGTAAGTTAGGGGCCAAAGATTACATTTAGAATTAAAATAAAGGCATGAAGTGCTGCCGTTTAAAACTTTCGGCTTCTATTTCCTGAAGAACTACTGCCTTTCAACTTTAATTTAGGTTAAACATGTATTACTCTTAAACGACAACAAACACACGCCACAGTAACACCTTATATGGCTTAATGTCCACGTTTCTATTACATTTGGGCCGCATCTGGCACACATAAGTGCCAAACTGTGCTAAAAGTGATTAGAGTATCGCAAATTAGGATTAAAATCTGTCTGCTATCATGATTTGAATGCACTTTGTGAAGTTTATCCAAACTAAACAGCATATTTAGTTTTGATGGCATGAATGAGAAAGGTTTAACTAGGACCTCAAATGTTCAAACTGAGGAATGAGGATCTTCTTTTTGATATAAGGAGCAAAACGTAAGACTTCAGCTTTTTAACACTTGCGGCTTCTGTTTCCTGAATAACTGCTGTCTAAACAGTATTAGTGGTGTTCATCACTTGCACGGCCTGTTTAAAAATAATAAAAAGGACTTTTGAGCGATTTCCTGGACCACGTGGCCCGTATGTGACATTATTTTTTGGGCTACATATGGTTTTGTCTGCCTGATGCAAGGAGCCACAGTTTTACACAATAATGGCCTAACAGTGTTGTGAAATTTAGACAACATCTGGCACACAAAATATTTTCTAGTACAGTAACTGAGCTGTAGATGCCCTGAGCAGCCAGATTTAGTAATAAAGAGCAATAAGTTATGATGACATGACTGAGAAAATACATTTGGCATCTGAAACTTTTTATTGAATGTTTAAACAGAGAAATGAAGGCCCTCTTTTCCAGATAAGGGGCAAAATCAAGATTCAGTAATGATATGAAGTGCAGCTGTGTAAAACCTGTGGTTTCTGTTTCCTGAATAACTTCTGTCTCTGAGCTTCATTTGACATTAAATGTGTAATAATACAAACTAGGATGAAAGATTTTCTGTGGGGCTTTCTGGGTATTTGGGCCACACCACAGGTCCACCTTATACAGGCCAGATGCCAGGTGTGTTGTAATGGTAGGGCAGA